TGGCCTTCATATACCAACATGGCCCCAGGTGGTAGCCCTGGGTATCCCCATAGTCTTGGAGGTGACATGGGTCATGGATGTCAACACAGACACAGCCTGAAGTAGGACCATGTACCCAGACTTGGCTCTAGGCAGAAATCCAGCCCCAGAGGTAACCCTGGACCTGGATGAAAGAGATTGATCTTAAAAGATGGCTCCCTAAAACTCTCTCTTTTAAAAAATAAATGTTAACGAGAAATGTTGAATCTTCTCAGTAACTGAGGTAAAGATGTCAGAACTTGGTGGGGTAGGTGTGGGCGAAGAAGGAAGCTTGTGGAGAATAAGATTATTTCATTTAAAGTATCAGTGGAGGCCAGGACTATGACTGACAGTAGAACTGAGTCAGCACAGATGCCAGGGCATACTGTGTGAAGGGTACAGTCAATTCTAACTAAATGTTACATAGAATCAGATTATCTTGGAGAAAAGCAGTTCTGGTGATACAGTATTGTGCATCATATAGACAAAAAGGAGGTTTTGACTGAGCATTGAAACAGCTGATTACTGATTAACCAATAATTCTTCTTTTAGACTTGGTACCTTTATTTTCCATTGAGAAATTATATTGTTCCCAACCTGGGCCCAGGAACTTGAAGCAGAACTCCTTCCAGCTCCAATGGTGGATGTGATGCAGTCATGACTGATTCAAACTGTGCATCTCTTTGGGCAATTACCATCTGAGTGATAGACTCAGGACCCGTTGTAGACAGGTGGCTATCATAACTGAGCCTTCTGACAAAATCCCTCATGGAATTGCAAATTGAAACTGAGTCCCTAGCCCTACCAATAAGAGACAAACAAATCACAAAGCAATGCTAACCTTAGCTGTTGGTGGAAATCTTTGTTACAGAATAAAAGCTGCCAAAGTTGAAGCTAGTATTGAAGAGAATCTTTGAAGTGGGAAAAATACAATCTTGCTGCCAATGCCTCTGTAACCAGATCTGTTTCAAAATTTCTCTTTGTCTGGTTCTATCTTTCTTGAGTTAGTGTATATTGGAACCTAGCAGGTGCAATCCACAGCTCTGGATTAATTCACAGGGTGATTGTAGAGTTTTTTGGTTCTGATGCCCCTCTCTTCCTCACTTTGCCTCTCCCTCTCCCCCCACATTTTGTGTTCTATATTGCCTGGGATTGTAGCAGTGGCTGTTTTCAATAGATGGTGACTATTTCAAACTAACCTTCTCTTTTTCTCTCTCTTCATGTGTGGAGACTACACTGAAAAAGAACTTTTCATTGATTAATTTAGCATGATTTTATTGAGCACATATCATGGCAGCTAGAAGTCTGATATACAAAGATGGACAGGAATACTTCGCTATCAGATAGACAAACACACGTGTGAACAGTGTAGCCTGCCACTATTGGGAAACCAGTGTCGAGTTGGCGTTCCACAGCTGTGATTAGGAAGATGAACTTTGTTCCTAATCCATGCCAGACTGCCCAGGCCTACTTTGCACTTAGTACCTACTTCATACATATCTGATCCTCTCTTCCTGTTTTTCCATGTGTAACATGAGGGCATAATTTCTGTCAGGACTGTCTTAGTCTGTAACAAAATACCCCAAACTAAGTGTCTATAAACAACTCGGATTTATTTTTTATATTTCTGAAGGCTGGCATGTCCAAGGTCAGTTGTTGGCAAATGCAGTGTCTGCTGAGGGCTCATGCCATTCTGCGATGAGGAAGGACATAAAATAGAAATATGACTTGATACATATTCATTACAAGGTAGTCGTTACCAAGAATGATAGGAATGAGACTGAGATTGTTTTTAGAAACAAACCAGTCTTCTCCTTCTTTACAAAAATACTCACAGATGTAGAAAAATGATGCCTGAGAACTTTTTTAAGGATGAAAAGACATAAGCATTTCCTGAAAGTTTTTTTGAATTTTATCATTTTAATATGAAACCTGCTTCTCATTTCCTACAGCAGCTGCTTAACCCCCATCTTCACCCTGCTATTAGCTTAAAAATAAATTCATTTTGGACATAAGACCAATGAAGGAAACTTTATTTTAAAAATCTACTTGAAATAGATTTTGTAGTGAAGAATCATTTAAAAGATAATGTTGAAACAAAAACACACTTGTTAGGATGCGTTTGTGCTCAGTGGGTGGAGAGCTTTTTGGGCACACACAAAGCCCTGGGTTTCATCCCCAGAACCATGTACACTGAGAATGGTGGTACATGCCTAGATTCCCAACACTTGGGAGGTAGTGAATCAAGTGTTCAACCTCATCTTCAGCTATTTAACAAGACCTTGTTGAAAACTACATCAGTAGATCACAGTCAGAGTAAAGTATTAATTATATAGCAACCTTGTGGGTCAAGACAATCTGCATATTTTCTCTATTTCAATTTCATCAGCAAATCCATCTGCTTTCAAGTGGGCTATATTTTATTGCCCATTTCTGTTGAATATTTTGTGTTCTATATTGCCTGGGATTGTAGCAGTGGCTGTTTTCAATAGATGGTGACTATTTCAAACTAACCTTTTCCTCTTTTTTGTCTGTTCTTCATGTTGTTGGCCCCTGGGCCTATGGATTGACTTGGGAGAGCAAGAAGTAGACAGAGTTCAGCAGGCAGAGTAAATGGACTCAGGATAGGAGTTGAATGCTGACTTCATTTACACAGGCTGTGTGATCACTGTCACCTTTGATGAAGGCAGTGCCCCACCTTGAGACCCATTCTCTAATATAGTACCCCTCCTGGAATTGGCCCACTGATTCCTCTCTCTGGTCTCAGTTCTCATTTTCTTCCATCCACATGGTTACATGTCTGTGTGCTCTTTGCCCACTTGGGCCACTCCAAGTCCTTTTGTCATTTAAGATTTGGTGGGCACAAATTTCTTTGGTCTTCTTTTATCACCTCAGAATTTGGAAGTAAACATTTAACACTTTGCATATTTTAGCATGCCATTTTCCAGAGCATGGGGCTTGTGTATGGGGTATGTGTGTGTGTTCATGCAATTTCTTGTCTTCTTAGGAATCTGATGCTTGGGACTAGCCTACATTCATCTTGGTGTTCTTTCATTGTCACAGAATCCAGTATGGTATTTCATGAATCGCAGGCGTTAAAATCATTAATAAGCAAGGATAAGGATACATAGAGAATATAGGAAGGAAAAGGCAAAGAGATATCATTACTGTAGACCTAATGAGTGGTACAAGACAGAATCATGGCTGAGATTAAGCAGGGAATCTCAGTGGGCAGCAAGTGCTAACAAGGATGTGAGAGGCTTGGAAGACTAATAGTTGGTTCCAATATTCAGCCACCCTCCTTCCTGTTCATTCTCCACTCTAGTTCATTCCTAAGTCTGGGGGTCATGTGCTTTGCTGCATTCTAATTCTAGGTAATCCATGAGAAACATTTCCCTCCATAAGTTAAGAAGTGCCCTTGCTTGGAAGAAACCTATTTTGTACTATCAGGTTAAAGCATTGGGTTAATGCTCTCCAATCATTACTTCCTTTGCCTTCTCAGGCTTCCCCTGTTTCTGTCTTTCATTCCTCGACTGAAATAACACTGACGTGTCAGGTGGGATGAGGAGACTGTAAAAGGTGATCCCTTCTATCCCCTGCATTAGTTGTACCCACAGAAACATACCTTGGCATGCCTAGTGTTTTCCTGTGTGTGTGATGTCTTTGGCTTCCAGCCACAGAAGTCATGGATTCTGTGTTTCCCATGAACCAATCTGTTTGCAATGGTGCTCATAACATACAACCGTGGCAGAGTACTCACCACACATTAGCCTGCTGGAAATAAGACTATGACTGTTTCCCCACCCTATCCCTCCCCTTTGGGTCTGATCAGCACTTAGTGTCTGCTCCGCACTTAGTGGCCATTCCACACAGTCTCAATAAAGAACTGCTGAGGGCTGAGTTGATGACATAGTCAGTAAAATGCATGCATCAGAAGCCTGAGGACCTGAGTTTGATCCCTCAGAAACCAGGTGTAAAAAAGCCCGGCATGGTGCCATTTGCTTGTAACCTTTGTGCTAGAGAGATGAGAGCAGGTAGTCTCTGGGGCTCACTGGGCAGTCAGGCTACCCAGATAAATGAGCTCCAGGTTCAGTGAACTCTCTGGTTCAGAGAACAAGGTGGATGGCACCTGAGGAGTGACAGCTGATGTCTTCTGGCTTACACACACACGCACACGCACACGCACACGCACACGCACACACATGCATGCATGCACACACAGAGTTGTTGAGTGTACATATAAAAGCATAAAGGAATAAATAAAGAAATTTATCATGTGCATGCATCACACACAGAGTCGTTGAGTGTACATATAAAAGCATAAAGGAATAAATAAAGAAATTTATCATTCCATTTTAATTGTTAGAAATTCTTAGCATCTCAGCCTGGCAATGGTGGAACACGCCTTTAATTCCAGCACTTGGGAGGCAGAGACAGGTGTATCTATGTGAGTTCCAGGTCAGCTTGGTCTACAGAGTGAGTTCTAGGGCAGGCTCCAAAGCTACAGAGAAACCCTGTCTCAAAAAACCAAAAAAAAAAAAAAAAAAAAAGAAAGGAAAGAAAAGAAAATTCTTAGCATCTCTTACTTTTCCTTGAGAATTGTCAAAGAATTTGTCTATGTTATGATTATCCTAAATAACAGACAAAACTGGAGTTTTATGAATATTTAATGAGGCAGTGTCACTACCAGCTGGTTGTATTACCAAGGGCATTCAAATTTGTCAACATTATCTTTAATTTGCTTAAATATTTATCATCATTACTTTTGAGGGGTTCATGTCTGGGGTTATTTTAAACCCTTCATTTTGTTGTGCTTTCAACTGGTTGCTGGTTTGTCTTATTGAGATAAATTCTGCCAGAGCTGTCTGTAAAAGGAGTTTCTGAATCCTCTTGTCACTTGCTCCACCTTCCAGCACTCCAGATCAAATCAAAGTGTAAGCCATGTGGTATTCATGTTGCAACATTCAGGTCTGCAGTCCACTTCACAGATCATCATCTTCTGATATAGAATCTAGGTAATCTGTGTCAACATAGAGGAGAAATCCAGAGAATAGACTGTCTGCCCAGCCCGGGTCTGAGAAGAGGCCATTCTGGTCATTGAAGAAGATTTCCAGCCAGACTTCATCTTCTGGCTGCAGGTAGATGACTGTGGACCCCGAAGCCACATCATGGTTCCCCGTGTTGGCGTCAAAGGTCCTTATTCGGTACTGCCCGTTGTGTACCAGCCCAATTGCTAGGTGCTTATTGGCCAATGTGATATCATAAGAAAAGTAATAGATCCCTGGGAAAGCACAAATGAACTTCCCTGTGGCGGGGTTGTAGTGTTCCCCCTCATTGAAGAGGACCTTGTTAAATATGATGGGTAGCCTTTCTTCTGGGTAGCTTGTTGTGATGCCAACTGAAAAGGCAGATTTGAGCACAATGCTTCCACATCTGCACACTCCAGGCAGGCCTGGGTCCCCTTGATCTCCTCGGTCTCCCTTTGGCCCAGGAGGCCCAGCTGGGCCAACTTCTCCTTTCTCACCCTCTGGTCCCATAGGTCCTTTCTTCCCAGTCTCTCCTTGGTCTCCTTTTTCACCAGCAAGGCCCAGGGGTCCAGTCTTACCTTTTAGACCTTCAAAAACAATTAATGGCTAAATCAATAGCTCTTCTAGAGAGTCACAAACAATATACCTCCACACTGCTAACACACCCTAATCATATCTTTTCAGTCAATTATTAACAGCTTCCTGTTAATTAAAAAGCCTTTGGAACTCATTGATATACTAAAAAACGAGAACAAAAAACTTCCCTTAGATTTTCTCCAGTATTTGAGACTTCAATTAGACCCTGATTAATTAAACTAATAAGCTATTATTTTGAAGACATATCACCTGGTGCATATTAGTCATAGCCAGTTACTTGTCACCACAGAAAGGCTTCAGAGAGCATGCTAGTATTTTTCCCAGAGTGAGTCCTGAGGGGAGACAGAACCAGACAATTCTTTGGAGACAGCTTAGTCTTTCTTTCATTCTATTCCTGTTAGTGTTAATAATAAGATAATTAATCAAAATCAAATTCAATATTTATCAACTGTGTACTCTATACCAGGACCAAGGTTAAATGTTTCATTGGCATGCATTATCTTATTTAAATTTCACAACAACTTTAAAAGATAAGAATTAGTAACTTCTTTGCAGACTCGAAGAAACCGAATCAAGAGAATGGAGCTACTGAGTGATGGAGCTGTGATCTGAACACATGCCTGTCCAACTCTGGAGCCTGGGTACCATCCTCTGGGAAATGTGTTGGGTTGATCCTGTAAACTGTAGGTGACCCTGGAATGTTGGGGCATCATATGCTACTTTAACTAAAAAATGCTGACTGCTTTCACCATTCTACCGTCCTTCTTTTGCAGGAGAATGAGTTCTGAGGAGGCAAATGGACTTGACTATGTATCAGGATTAGAAGGATCCTTAGCCTTCCTGGCCTCATGGTATTTTACCCTGTCCATGTAGATGCCTCTTACCTTGCAGCTGGCTCTGCCACTGAATGTGTCACTTTAGACTTGTCTCCTAATCTCTCTGGGTCCCCTTACATAAAGAAAACTGGATGCGAATTTCAACCAAGTTTAAGCCACTGTATAGGACTGTTTTCTGTATGTCCAAATCTTTATGTCTGCAGGTTAACTAGAGGCTAATTATAGAAAAAAGTGATCTTGATTGAAAGCCATCAGCAAAATTGACTTTTTCTTGTATAAAACAACAATAATTAGTATAATAAAGGGTTTTAATTTTGTGATCAAATCCATGTCACAGTAGTACTTGGATAATGAATATTTCTACCCAAAGTATCCAAAATTGTTGGTCTTCAGTTGTTTATTTTTTTTCATTCAGGAAAATGTATTGTTAATGCATGATTTCTCTTGTAATCATGGTTTTCTTCTCAGGGATTCTGATCCAGCTAAGCCCTTTATCTTGCTGGTGCTTTGATATCAATTATTGGAGTTCTGTACATACTTCAATGTATGCATGTGATAACCTGGTTCTTTTTTCCTGTTAACTGGCAAAATCAACAAGGAAGTCTCTTGGCAATGTAAAGTTTGGGAGAATTAAAGCTTTACCCTTAAAATGTCAAGTACAGTGCTTTAATCCTCATGAAAGTGTCTGTTTAACAATTTATGATGCCTGGAGGTTATTGTCAATGAATGGCACCACTGTTAGTGAGACAAGGTTAGCATTCTTATCAGCTACAGTTGTGTTCCCTTAATGCAGACAGTCCTGTTAAGTGGATCAAGCACAACACACATGACAGATGTTTTTGAGCTTCATCAGGCCTTGATTCTCTGGCGTAGAAATGGAATATAAACTTTCTGTTGTTCTTCACAAATCAAAGACTGCAAAGTCTGAAATTTGTTCAACAGCAGCTTAACCTTTTCTGCCTTCATCACTGATCTTCAATACAATAATAAAGCCATTTGTGTCTCAGTAACAGTTTGAGTCATAGGAGTTCGTTACAAACTCAAATCATGCTGCTTTAAAACTTTCCGGCTCAAGGACTCCATTTGTAAAACAGAGACATTGGATATAAGTCTACTCCAACTTAGTGGGTGACACAGTCAACAGTGACTCAGCATGTCTGAGATGGAACACACTTCAGCTGTGGATCTAATGGTAGATCTGAAGAAGGGCTAAGATCCTCCTGGCTTAGGCTTCCTAGTCACTGAAATAAAGGTTAAGGGAAGGTTGCTTGAGGTCTCACCCTCTTGAAAATTTATTGTGAACAGCTCATAAATACTGAAATGAAAATGATAAATATGAGGAATTCTTTATGACCTCAGTGCTTTAATTTTCTATTGTAATACATATTTAATACCCTGAACTGTCAGTTACACCTAGTCATGGAGTAAATGTAATAATAATATATAGGACTTCTTCCTATTTATATGGAGAATTTTCTCATGGATCAGGAGACTATATACTCAAGAGAAGAAAAAGGATAAATCATTATGCATTAAGGACTGATGTCTGGGGGGCTAGCATGGGACTGATCCAGACCCCTGAATGTGGATGTCAATGAGGAGGCTTCGGCATTCTATGGGGCTCTTGGTATTGGATCAGTATTTACCCCTAGTGTAAGAAAGGGCTTTGGGAACCCATCCCACATGGAGGGATGTTCTCTCCGCCTGGACACAAGAGGGAGGGCCTAGGCCCTGCCCAGGACGATATTATTGACATTGGGGGAACCCCCATGGAGGGCCTTATTCTCCCTGGGAAGCAGAGGGGTGAGGTGGGGGATTAGTGGGGAGTTGAGGAGAGGGGAGGGAGAGGGAGAAGGGAGTGACATGTGAAGCAGCCATGGAGTAAATGTAATAATAATATATAGGACTTCTTCCTATTTATATGGAGAATTTTCTCATGGATCAGGAGACTATATACTCAAGAGAAGAAAAAGGATAAATCATTATGCATTAAGGACTGATGTCTGGGGGGCTAGCATGGGACTGATCCAGACCCCTGAATGTGGATGTCAATGAGGAGGCTTCGGCATTCTATGGGGCTCTTGGTAGTGGATCAGTATTTACCCCTAGTGTAAGAAAGGGCTTTGGGAGCCCATCCCACATGGAGGGATGTTCTCTCCGCCTGGACACATGAGGGAGGGCCTAGGCCCTGCCCAGGACGATATGATTGACTTTGAGGAACCCCCATGGAGGGCCTTACTCTCCCTGGGAAGCAGAGGGGAGAGGTAGGGGATTAGTGGGGGGTTGAGGAGAGGGGAGGGAGAGGGAGAAGGGAGTGACATGTGAAGCAGC